TAAAGCTCTAATGTATTTAATAACAGATTGGGTCTCGATCAGTGGTATCCTGCACTGTCATTGGCCATCGCTTAAAACGCTCACCTTACTGTTGAGAAAAGTTTATCTCGGGTTCCACAGAGAGCATCGCCTGTGTTCAGTTAGCCAATCAACTACATACACTACTATCTTTCCACTTCTCACTTGGTACATTGTCTCCTTACTTTCCAGACGCTTTCTTTAGTACTTTGTGTTCTTTTTGTTTATTTTTTTCCTCATGTATGATCTTTCCCTGTTTTTGGATTTTTGCCCTTTGCCAGCCTCTTGTAGGAAGTGTTTCCTTGTGAGCGCTTTGGATTTAGGGTTTTGCTCTCTCTGTTTCTTGCATACTGCATTTGTGTCTTCTGCTCCTCCTGTGAACACTTACAGTGATTTGTTAAGAGATTTCAACAGTGACCAACAGATGGACACCCTCCCTACAACAATTTGACAAATTCCTCACTAAACGAATATTAAATTGATACAAACCCACATCTATGTTAGAAAGACACACCTTCAAACAAATACAAGTAAAGCAAAGCTGAAGCTACTCAGTGCGTGCTTCAGTCTTGACAAGTTAATCATCGAGTTTGTGGACGAACCTCTTTAAAAAAACAAACAAAAAAACCAAAACTGGAGCTGAGACAAGAGAGGTGGGAGTCTTTCTGAGAAACTCTATCCCGCTGGTGAAATGTTTGGGAAAATGAGCCTGGATGCAGGAACACACATTCACAGACTCGCTCAGACAAATAGTAGAATCAGTTTTGTGTGCTGGTGTTGCCAGGTGAGTAATTGCCTCTCTTTAAAGCAATCAGAGCAACAGAACCACAAACAGACCAGGGTCTTATTCTAAAATCGCTTCACTGATCCCCTCCATTTAAAGCAAGAATCACAACACTGCATACTAATACACCCTGCTTCAAGTCTAGTCCTTTTATTCTTGGAAAACAATTATAATAACACTGTGGACACTTAGATTTGATGTTTAAAGGTTTCTTGTTGCTGGTGTTAAGTTGAGCTTGAAGGAAAGTCAAGGTTAGGCCAGCATCTGTCATCATTAAAGAGTCTGCTGAGTGAAGAACATATTTTGCTTGCATAATATAGACATTTTTTTCTGGAATTCAGTATATTAAATATTAAAATGATGGATGGTCAAAATTTTAATGGTCAAAATTTTAAATACTTTGATACAAATACATAAATGTGAGTCTTTTTGAGTCTATAGCTGATGTTTTATCTGCACATCCAGAAAGTAGTTTAACACTTTACAAGTGCTGGATGCTGCCCCTCGGCAAGCTTCCAGATGCTGGTCAATGAGATGAAAGTGAGCTTTTAGTGCAGGGATTAAAAAAAGGGGGGGAACTAAATTGGAGTGTTTCAGACAGTGGTTGTATGAAGAGCCAAACTAAATCATGTGAAGCTACTCAAGTAAAGCCACAGACTAAAAATGTAGCAGAGAATGAGCTGCTTGTATAGCTAAACATTTCTTAAACTCAAAGATTAAGAAAAAAAACCCCATGCCTATTTTTTATGCTTCAAATGATTATTTGAAGCATAAAAATCGGTAACTTTAAACAAATATAAAAATACATAACCATAAATAAAGATAAAAATAGATGACCTTATTTATGACTTTCTTCTATCCACAAAGGAGGCAGGCTTAGTTTCGATTCCACAACAGGTGCAGATCTTGGAAAGCATCTAAAAATCATTCAGTTAATTTAATAAACTGAATATTTTTATTGAGTCTCTCAGATATTAAACCTAAGTTCAATAACAATTTTCAATTTTTTAAAAGAGGTTTGCATACATAATTATACTTTATAAAAGGGTTAGGGTCACGGTCAGGGTCCGTTGATCGGCGGACAGAGGCGGTTTCTCGCAGCTTAAGTACAGTTTTTTGTTTTACG